GTGGATGGGTCAGACAGGAACTGAGCCAGGCAGGGAGTCTCTGGAGAGAATGGAAGGTTAGCTGCCTGGGGCCTGTCCTGGCAGAGGCGTCTCACAGGCCTGGGGCTGCAGAGGGGCAGACGGAGAGAGACAGTGCTGGGAGTTACGGAGCTGGCCAGGCTGGGGCGGGTGGGCGTGTGAGCATCGCTAAGGAGCGTGCGGAGAGGACAGAACGTGACATGCTGGCAGGGAAGGGGGCGCGGAGGACCCGGGGGCATGATTCTGCACCAGCTTCTCCTCACCAGCCCTCCCCCCCCACTCCTCGCCTCAATCTGTCCTCCACACGGCTGCCAGATCGTCCTTCCAAACCACAAGTGTGATCGATCATATTACTCCCCCCACCAATGACGGAAATTTCCTGTCTCCACCAGGTGCTTTAAAAAAATGTTTTCATTGATTTCAGAGAGAGAGGAAGGGAGAGGGAGAGAGAGAAGAAAGCATCGATGGAGAAACATCAATCTGCTGCCTCTTGCACACCCCCTGCCAAGGAGCAAGCCTGCAACCTGGGCGTGCACCCTGGCTGGGAGTCAACCGCGACCTCTCGGTGCTCGGTGCACGGGACAGTGCCCACCCCGCTGAGTCACGCTGCCAGGACACATAGAAATGGGAGGTGCAGGTGAGTCTCCGTGAGGTGGGCCCAGGGCTCACTGCATTCGTCAGGACACTCGCTGCCACCATGGGCCCAAAGGTCCCATCTCCCCGAAAGCCCACAGACGGGCGCCCTCTGGCCGCAGGCTGCTTGTTTTGCCACTGGATTAGCGGTCCCTCGGTGACCTCACAGCCCCCTGCACTTGTCTGTGATGTCCGTGTGCCCTCGGGGGTCCCTTCCTTCGGCCTCAGTCGGAGGAGCTATTTCTGGGGAGTGGTGGGCTGGCTGCTGAGAGCTGCCCACCAATGGAGGTGCCCCTGGAGAGTGGGCCCCGGGCCACAGCAGGCAGGTGGTGCTTTAGAGAAAAGCCAGGGTAGCCACTGGCTGGGCTAACGCCTTCGAGGGCAGTTTTTGTTTTTAAAAAAATATATTTTATTGATTTTTTACAGAGAGGAAGGGAGAGGGATAGAGTTAGAAACATCGATGAAAAACATCGATCAGCTGCCTCTTGCACACCCCCCACTGGGGATGTGCCCGCAACCAAGGTACATGCCCTTGACCGGAATCGAACCCGGGACCTTTCAGTCCGCAGGCCGACGCTTTATCCACTGAGCCAAACCGGTCAGGGCAAGGGCAGTTTTAAATATATATGTATTTTTTATTGACTTCAGAGAGGAAGGGAGAGAGAGATAGAAACATCACTGATGATAGAGAATCACTGACTGGTTGCCTCCCGCATGCCCCCCTCCCCCCACTAGGGATGGAGCCAGCAACCCGGGCATGTGCCCTTGATCAGAATCGAACCAGGACCCCTCAGTCCACAGGCCAACGCTCTATCCACTGAGCCAAACTGGCTAGGGCCAGGGCAGTTTTGTAGAGCACCTTAGGTGAGAGAGAGCGCGCTTACCTCTGGTGGCCAGGATCCCTGGAGAGGAAAAGACTGAGCAAAGGGCAGAGAGGAGGCGGGCAGAGCCTGCGGTGGCGGTGGAAGGAGGTGGGGGTGAGGGAGGCGGGCTTGGGGTTTGGTGATGCAGCGCGGCTGACCATGGGGTGGCTCCTGTGTTTTCTGTGGAGGAGGCCGCGGGGCTGGGGGCGGAGGCTTGAGGAGACTGCAGAGTGGAGCAGAGCTGACCAGACAGCAGCAGCTGGGCAGCGGGTCGTCCATCAAGGCTGGGCCGTGGTGTCACGGTGGCCGTCTGCACTGTCAGTGGAGCAGGGCTCCAGGAGGCGGGTGGGCAGGACCGTGTGTGTCTGGGGTTTGCCAGAGGGGGACAGTGAAAACCCAGGCAGAGAGGTGGGGGCCAGGACATTGGCAGCTGACAGGTGAGGGAGCCACACTGGGTGGGTACAAGGACGAAGGAGGCCGCCACAGGGCTGGGACCAGGGAGGGTGGCTCCCTGCAGGAAGGCCTGGGGGAGAGCGGCGAAGGCACAGTCCCTTCAAAGGGGAGGAGGCAGGAGAAGCTCCTGTGAGGGGGCCTGTTGAGTGTAGAGGAAACTCCACGGCAAGAAACTTCCGTGGGACATCATGGTCCAGAGCGAACCCCAAACCTGCCCGTGACCCTAAGGTGCCTCCGAGAGGGCTCAGAAATGGGCTCCTCGGGGCACGAGGGTCGGGAGAGCCCGTCCTGGGCTGGGGCGCCAGGCTGAGGACTAGCCCCGGGCACTGCCCGCCGTGCACCAGCTAAGTGCCGGGCTCGGGTGGAGCTCGGGACCCTTTGGGCTGCAAGTGACGGAAACCAATGCCCGACAGAAGCAGGGGACCCCGGCTGTGCCTGGGCCTGTGCGCCCAGGTGGGGAGGGGAGCCTGGCGGGCTCCGTTCTCGTCTCTGGGTTTGGTTTCATTCATTCTCCCCGGCAGCCCCAACTCGCGGGCGGTGGGCGCTGTCGGGGTCCTGGGTGTGCACCCAGCCGGGCCTCCGGGTAACAGCGGGACCTGCGGCCG